CGCTGTGCCATGTTGGCAGACAGCCACTCCACACGCACACACACACACACACACACCACACACATACACACACACACACACACACACACACACACACACACACACACACACTGCCTGTCTCTGCACACACACGCTCAAATCAGGGAGTGTTTTCATGTGGACAATGATCCTGTTCAGAGTCTCAGGATGATAGATGTTGCAGATAGAGCTCCATGCAGATGATATGCTCTTTATCATTCTTTGATAACTCTCAGTATGCTCAGATGATGAGACAAAGCCTCGCTGTCTCTCCTCCATAGGAGCAACACACAGGTTTCTATAGCCTTTTGAGGGTTTTCTGCAGCTGTTTGAGTGTCCTTAGAAACTAAATCAGATGACCCTGTTCAGAGTCTCAGGATGATAGATGTTGCAGATAGAGCTCCATGCAGATGATATGCTCTTTATCATTCTTTGATAACTCTCAGTATGCTCAGATGATGAGACAAAGCCTCGCTGTCTCTCCTCCATAGGAGCAACACACAGGTTTCTATAGCCTTTTGAGGGTTTTCTGCAGCTGTTTGAGTGTCCTTAGAAACTAAATCAGATGACCCTGTTCAGAGTCTCAGGATAATGAACACAGCAGATATCCCTCTATGCAGATGATGTGGTGTTGTTTCAGTCACAATGGGCTCCATTACCTGTCCTACAGAGGAGCCACACACACACATTGGGGTTTTTCGGTCTCTTTTTGCAGTCGTTTTGAGTCTCTTTGGCTTCGCTGCACAATATTAGGTTTTTTCAGGTTGTTTCTGTTCCCTTAGAGTTTACTTCCTGTCTGTCTGTCTTCTTCTACTGTTCCCTCTAGTGTTGACTTCCTGTCTGTCTTCTTCTGCTGTTCACTTTAGAGTTTACTTCCTGTCTGTCTTCTTCTGCTGTTCCCTTTAGAGTTTACTTCCTGTCTGTCTGTCTTCTTCTGCTGTTCCCTTTAGTGTTTTACTTCCTGTCTGTCTTCTTCTACTGTTCCCTTTAGTGTTTACTTCCTGCCTGTCTTCTTCTACTGTTCACTTTAGTGTTTACTTCCTGTCTGTCTTCTTCTGCTGTTCCCTTTAGTGTTTACTTCCTGTCTGTCTGTCTTCTTCTGCTGTTCCCTTTAGTGTTTACTTCCTGTCTGTCTGTCTTCTTCTACTGTTCTTGTTAGTGTTTACTTCCTGTCTGTCTTCTTCTACTGTTCCCTTTAGTGTTTACTTCCTGTCTGTCTTCTTCTGCTGTTCCCTTTAGTGTTTACTTCCTGTCTGTCTTCTTCTACTGTTCCCTTTAGTGTTACTTTCCTGTCTGTCTTCTTTTTATGCTGTTTCCTTTAGTGTTTACTCCTGTCTGTCTTCTTCTACTGTTCCCTTTAGTGTTTACCTTCCGTGTCTGTCTTCTTCTGACTGTTCCCTTAGTGTTTACTTCCTTGTTCTGTCTTCTTCTGCTGTTCCCTTTAGTTGTTTCACTTCCTGTCTGTCTTCTTCTGCTGTTCCCTTTAGTGTTTACTTCCTGTCCTGTCTTCTTCTGCTGTTCCTTAGTGTTTACTTCCTTGTCTATGTCTTCTTCTGCTGTTACCCTTTAGTGTTGTTTTTTACTTCTGTCTTCTCTTCTGTCTTCTATTCTGTCTTCTCTTTTGTGTTTTACTTCCTGTCTGTCTCTTTCTGTCTGTTCCCTTTAGTGTTTACTTCCTGTCCTGTCTTATTCTGCTGTTCCCTTTAGTGTTTACTTCCTGTCTGTCTGTCTTCTTCTGCTGTTCCCTTTAGTGTTTACTTCCTGTCTGTCTGTCTTCTTCTGCTGTTCCCTTTAGTGTTTACTTCCTGTCTGTCTTCTTCTGCTGTTCCCTTTAGTGTTTACTTCCTGATGGATAAAAACTAATGTTTGTTGTCCACAGCTGACGTTAAATTGACCGGACTTCCTTCTGCGGATTGATATGAGTGCACATAGTCCCTTGATCATCCTTAGCAACACTCTGATATCCTTAGCAACAGTCTGTTAGCGAAAATTAACAGCCTTCAGAATGTCCTAATCGACCAATCAGAATCTGGTATTCAACTAGGCTGTAAAATAGCAATAAATCCCTGCCTTTTAGTTGATTTCTGATGCTGTCTGCTGCCTCCTTCATATCCCCAGTGGACGCAACACACATCAGATGTGTTCTTTGTGCTCCAGTCGTGTCCCGTGTGTTGGGTTTCTTCAGTTCCTCATGTTTACGCTCTTGTTTTCCCCCTCAGCAGACATCTGGATGTGTCAGCAGCTCGGAGTTACAAGTGAAGAATCATGCAGAAAGAGGAGTGAAAGTGCTGCTGTAGCACCGCGTCTAATGAGGTGAGTGTGTTACTATGAGAAACCCCTGCAGACACACACACACACACACTCTCTCAGACAGACACACACACTCTCAGACAGAAACACACACTCTCAGACAGAAACACACACTCTCAGACACACACTCTCTCAGAACCACAGACACTGGTTTCTGTCTGTCTGGCTCAAG